AACTTATATTAAAGTTTTTCTTCATTACCCATTTAAGCCGTCTCCAGCCATTATAAAGTATTTAGGTTTAGCAGATGTAAAGAAAACAATGGATTTGAATATTTGATCCAGAATTTCTATTAAAGATACACAAAGACTAACTGCATATAGCCGTCTCTAATTTTAAAATGATAGACACCCAGTTAACAGCACCCATCGTCAACTCGTTGGCCAGTACTCTTGTCTGATCGAATAATAGGATTTAAAAGTCACTTTTATGGCACACCCACGACTCCAGTGTGCGCAGTGCGTTTTTTGGAACAGGTCACAAATCATGAATCCAAAGATTCACATTCTGCACACGATCACCATTACGCCATGCCCAGCCCGAGAATACCTTGTCCTTATGAAAACAGACGACAAAGTAAAAACAATTATTAGCTACGGAAATAATTACTTTTTCTTTAACGTCTGTTTTCACAAATTGTTTTTGTATATAGAAATTTATAGATTCATGGTCATTTTACAAAATATACACAAGTATTTTAATAGTTCCATGACAAAACCCCATAAACAAAGTTATGAAGATATATGATATCGGTTTATCAAAAGACAGATAAAAACGGTTAACACGACAAAGATATAATGAGTAAACAATCAGTAATGTTTTAATATCCAAGCACGAATATGATCTAACCAAAGAAAAACTATTCAAATATTAATGAAATTTGGAAAATGTACAAGGAAAAGAATTGGAATAAACCTTAGACCTTCACTAACATTCACCCAAACCCACCTCTCCACTTAGACCTTCACTAACATTCACCCAAACCCTCCTCTCCACTTAGACATTCAATAATCGTTAACTTTCAAGCCAACTTTTCCTCTCCACTTAGACATTCAATAATCATTAACGTCCACCCCAAACCGACCTCTCCACTTAGACATTCAATAATCGTTAACTTTCAACCCAACTCTTCCTCTACATTTAGACATTCAATAATCGTTAATGTCCACCCCAAACCCTCCTCTCCGCTTAGATAATGAATGATCATTAACATTCACTTTAAATCCTGCTCTCTGCTTAGAGATTCAATAATCAGTAACATTCAATTCAAACCCTCCTCTCCACCTGAGTGTGTTACGTCATGTTGTTTGTGAAGCATGTCACAGCTGTTGTGGAGGGATCATATCTTGATCGCGTCGGCGTTAAAATTTCGCAAAACTGCTTTCAATGTAGTTTCGAATCAAGTATCGTCGACATGCGGTTCATCGCCCTTTTAAGATGAATCTTTAATTTTATTCAATTTATATGCTTTTAAATGATATTCTGCGAATCATATTTGTATATCGCTCTCTTAAAGTGAAATATGCAGCGTGCTAAATACCATAAGCAAATGTTTTTTTTTCTACTGATAAATAAAAAGCGCCCTCTAGCAGTATGTGTTCTTGACCTTTGTCGAATGACGAAACAATCACAGAACGAAATTATCTTGTATCTCCTATATCGTTTACTTTAGCGATCTAAATTTTTTTTAATGTATAATGGTTAATATTTTAGAAATTTGCAGAAGACAGGGTTAGATTTGAAGCTAACTTAACAACTGAACGTTATTGTTATAGGCTTTCTTGAGTATTACTTTGTTGAATGAAAAACAGTCAGACAACAGCAAATGCTCCACCTTCAGGACAAATAATGTTGAGGTAATCCAAATAAGTTGCTTTTAAAAACCACAGCTAACTAGACATATCTAATTTAGTGGTATTCACATTAGCTGCTAAAATCTTAAAACGTACACACACAAACTAAAAAGTATTGATTTGTGTCAGCATATTATAACTCCCTAGTCTTCTGCAGTTCGAGTTTACGGCGTATTGATTTAACAACCACAGTACGGAATTCATTTTTACCTCCTATATCGTTTACTTTATCAATTATTTTATCCATTCTGGTTAATCTATTAAAACTTCTACCAAAAATATGAAAGCTTAAACAGAGCGAGATTCGAACACGAGACTAATTCTGAAGCTTAAGTCTTCCATGGACTTGGAAACTTCGAACAAATATATGCAGTTTACACGAAGTTCTCGTTTCCATTTCTTTCGCGAAGTTTTTAGCGTTGTTATAAGTTTTGTGTTCTGATAAGCACAATATTTTGCACTGCAATAAGCTAACTCGCTTTTACTTGCGTAATATCTAGCATTCGATAATAAACAGAAGAACTAATAGAATACTTTTTAAGTTTTACTTTGAAAGTGGAAACGTTTCGACCGTTAGAAAATTCCAGCAAGCTTCTGGTGTAACCTTCTTCCTCTTTTGTATTCATGTCCGCGTCAACTTAACACAGCGAAGCTGAGTTTTAAAAAATGTTTTTTTTATATTGTTAAAAAAACATAGCTATAATTCCTTAACCATTACGCAGTATTATACAATACAAACCTTTAAGAAATATTTGAAACAAACTATTTACAAAAAAGCGACATCTCGTGATCTTTTCGTATACGAGAATGTGTTGTTTACACCAAAGAATAATACAAACTTCACTCATTTTTTAACATTTCTACAACCTGAATATCCTATTACTTATGTAGCAGTCTTTACATACATGAAAAATGTTAAACCAGGAATGTGACTTACGTTAAGACTGACAACTAAAAGTTTAGCAGTCAACCCAGTACCCTCGCTGTATGCAGGGCTGGTACTTTACCTACAATGTCTCCTTTTCACGTAGTTCAAACCGTAACAGCCATTCCCGCTTCCTTCCGGTGTTCCTGATGCACTGCAATTACGTACGTTCATAGCAGACTCGTGAAGCACGGGCGCGACTCTTCGCGCATGTTCTGTTAATCTCACAATTTTACGTTGTTTCGTGCCATTTGCTGTTATTAAATCGTACAGTCAGATGAAGGCTCTAGATTCTAACTAACGATAATAATATATCATTTTAACACTTATTAAATACATTCCAACTTTTCACCAACTAATTGTTTGTTTTTTATTGCATCGCAGTTTTCTGAGAAAACGGTGAGTTTTCATAACTAATAACTTTAAGATTTTTGTTTTGTTTTTGCAGTCGTAGCTTATTACTTTCAGGGGGCGCTGTAAACCTATTTTCTCGATTAACCAGCAAGTGGAACAGGCAGCGTATTACGAGCGCTTGATCTGGTCCTGTTGGGGTCGAATTCGCTTACACCAGATGACATTTAAAGACAATATATATTAAGGCCGTATCTCATAAACAAATCATTTTGTTGTTATAAGATAGGGTTATTTGTTTGTTTTTAATTAGCACAAAGCGACACAATGGGCTATCTGTCCTCTGCCCACCACAGGTAGCACCAATTTCGGTTACTTTGTTAGAATGTTTCATTCCATAAAAGAGCAATACTTTAAGAGTCTAGAAAGATTTGAAGTCTTTACCAAAATATTAAGATAAAACTCATACTTACAGTAATAGCGAGGTGATCAGGCAGATTTAAAGTATTCATCTAAAAAAATTTTCTTCATTGAAATGTTTCTTTATGAAAAAGCTCAAAATATAGAAGGGAATATACTTTTTTAGTGACCGAAATAAAACTTACTATTGAGAAGTCAAACTCAATCTACAAAAATATAAAAATTAACTCAGGGAAAGTATTCGGATTAAAGCAATATTCGTGAAATTTTGTTTTTTCTTTATATCAATGAGACATACTAACTTACTTAAGCCGAAAGACGAAACAAACAAGCATTGACGTGGAATTAAACATTTTTATATGCTAACAGCTTGTGAGCGGTATATAGAATTGGACAAAAAACTCATTTAGTTTGTCTCTTAGTGCCATTTCATAATCAGTATGAAGTTTAATTATACTATTAATAAACTTTATATGATATATCTGATATATAAAAGCAAAGAAAACAATTGAAATAGTTACTGTGTTTTCGCTAACCCAAGGCTTTCCACCAGGAACACTGTTTGTTGCAATCGTGTGTTAAACGGTGTATTGATATGTCAAAATGTGCCACCAGAGGTCGCTTCATATATATATTACCAACTCATTGACTCTTCCTTCATAGAATATTCACACCAGAAAGTTTTACCAGTTTGTTTATTGAATTTCGCACAAAGATACTCGAGAAATCTCTGTGCAAGCCGTCCTTACTTTATAAGTGATAGCTAGAGGGCAGACAGCTAGTCAACATCACCCACCGCCAATTCTTGTGTTACTCTCATCGAATAATGAGATTGACCTTCACATGAAAACGCTCTCACGGCTTAAAGGGGCGAGGATGTTCGGTGATGTTATTCGAAGCTGCCACCCGCAGATTGCATATTGAGCTCCCTAGCCATCAGGCCAGAACCCAGGGGCCACCAGAGGACGCTGAAAATATGTATTATCAACACATTGACTCTTGATTTATAAGATATTCTAATATGTTTTCAAACGATTGTATATCATTAGAGGACATTCACGGATTTTATTAATTTACTGTGGACTTGCTTTCCCACTGAACTTTACCAAAACATTCGGTACAGGTGCAACAAATTGATGTTGGCAAAATGTTTTAAATAAACGCACACTACTAGACTGAGATACGTAAAGGAAGATAACCTCCATATATGGGCAAGGTTAAAAGACAAATAGTTATGGATTTCCAGAACTGATTATTGAAATGAGAGCTCTTTGACTCAAAGCTAATGAAAAACAGGGAACTCGTAAAACGATGAATTTCAGTCTTTCAGCTATCCTTTGAAGTTGTTTATCTTCTTTCATTGTTCGTCTTTTCTTTACTTTCAGCCTGTTTTAATTTGTCGTTTTTGCTTTAAATGATTTATATTTATTTTTAACTTTTAGGTATGAGAAACGCCGAACTGTTATTATTGGTCGTGTACAAAACAAATACGAAATTATTATTTCATTCATTAAGAGTAGAACCCCCAATTCTAATAATTGTTTGTTTGTAATTAAGCACAAAATTATACAATGGGATATCTGTGCTCTGCCCACCACGGGTATCGAAACCCGGATTCTAGCGTTGTAAGTCCGCAGACATACCGCTGTGCCACTGGGGGGGGGGGGGGCAACTCTAATAATAATTATGCAGCACCTGATATAACATAACTAGAAGGACAGCATGACTTGGTGGTTTCGTGCTTTAGACTGATGATTGCGATTTCGAGGCTGCTCTATGTCATTAAACAAGACATTTTATTTCACTTCTTCCAGGCTACCCAGTTGTATGACGAGTACTAGCTGTTAGCCGGGGGTTAGCCTGCGCAATTTGAAACTGGAGTTTGAAAGCACCGGTCCTATATCATCAAGGATTTAACTTTAACTGACTCTATTAATCTTAGGTCGTGCGTGGTATAATTGCAGACATGCCCAGACTTTGAACTTAGAAGGTTGTCTCACACTATAAAACCCTCACAATATTAAAACCTGTAAAACCAATACAACTTTATATATATATGCCATTTTTATATAACTATGACCAGTATAATCAAATATTTTCGTCAGATAGGTGAATAAATTTATATACTTTTGTTTGGGTCCCAATCAAAGTCATATGGCAAAAACATTGGGACACAAAAACATTGGGACACATACTTTTTTCATGTACAACGATTTTAAATATTTCTCTGCATTTTCAGGTTTTATCACACTGCAGCCGCATTTCTTTGTTACTGTCTTACTAGAAAGCTATGCAGTTCTTAATGTCACATACTGTAGAGCAGTCTTCAGTCACAGGTTGAGCTTCCATAACGTTATGCAGTTACACTGTGCAGAGTTGTGTGTTGGTGCTTTATTTTTGAATCTAGCTATTTTTCCTTTGTTTCCAATTTTATGTTAAATTGTTCTGGAAATGATGATAAAGGCCACGTGTTTGAAAGTACGCGTTTTGCTATGTTATGAAATTGTGAGATATAGAACACCTGTTTTACCTCACCATACTGATGCCGAAAATAGATCCTCTTAGTCTAATCGATTAAAAAGTCCACAGTTACTAGTAGTTGTGATTCTTATTTATAGCAAGTTTGGATACGAGTTAGGTCTAGCTAGAAGTTATGTAGGGAAAGGACAACTAAATCTTGGCAGTTATTTCACACTATTCTTTTAAAACTGCCGATGAATAGGCTGGCAAGAAAAGGTAATTTCACTTACTACAGTCAGTTTATAAAGATGCGTTTGCAATTGCTCTATTGCATTTGCCGTTTTCATTTATAAATCCTCCAAGTTTTTGGCTTTTAAGTGTTATATTGCAGACTTGTTGTTTATATTACTTACTGGTAGGATCCAAGTATTACATTAAATTGAATAATTTTACGTGTGTTTTTTGTTGCTTGTTACAACATTTAATGTCAATCATTTTTTATGTAAAAAACATAGAAAATCTCGTCAGTAATTAATGTGATTAATTACAATATTTAAGGCATTTTGTTCAAATTTTTCTGATACTAATGTGTTATTGAGGCTCTGTAGAATTAAAATTATGAACCCAGATTTGGTGCATAAATAGTTTAGAAAAAGTATTTGAAAAGTCAAATAATTCTAGCATTAAGGTTTTCGAAAAAGAAAAAGTATCACTAAAATTTGGGTCAATTAATAAAACAACGAGAACACTATTGATTTTTAGCTATCCAGAGCGTCTCAAGGTAGAAAACCGGCGAATACCCAAAACCGAGATTTTTTAATGTTCGTTCATTATCATCTTTCTTCAACAGTTCTAGCGCCTACCTAGTTCTAACAGTAACTATAGTTTTGTCATCGATAGATAAAGCAAAACAGTCTTCACAATCTTTGACTACTTATTTCATTATTATATGCAAAATTTATAGAGCTTTAGAATACACTCTATAACCTAGTAACCCACATATGCCATCTTATAAAAAAAAAAAGTAACCAAACAAGTATAAGGAAAAAAATTATCGCTAAATAAAAAAGCTAGGTAGGGCTGGTTACTGAACTTGAAAAAATGAACCAAACAAGATAGGGATGGAAGTGGACATATCATTTGATCTGGCTAATGATCACATAGCAGACTAAGCCGAAACAACTTTACATGGAGAATAAAATCCCTATATCACTGACTTCCTCACGGGCAAAACAAATAGAACTAGAATTTCCAATCGTAAAATGTTACTTTATTGTAAAATAATTATAAAAGTGTTATTCTAAAATTAACTAAAGAGAAGGTATAATGATGAAAGCTGAGGTTCTATTCAAACACCAAACTTTCGATAGACAAAGTGGGAAAGCCAGTAATGTAGGGATTTTATTCTCCATGTAAAGTCAAGACAGCTTAGTTTAATATGTGATCATTAGCCGATCAAGTAATATCTCTATTTCCATCTTGTTTGGTTCCTTTTTTTTTCAGGTTCAATAGCCAACCCTACAAAGCTTTTTTAATTAACAATAATTTTTCTTTATTCTTGTTATTCTTTGTAACGAACATAGTGAGCCCCAACAAAGTTAAGCCTTCATATCTTGGCTGACCCTCAGTTCAACCAACAAATGCATTTCAAAACTATCTTCAACGCTGTTGACCTTGTCAAAATGTTGGGACTATCTCTGACACAGAATAAACGTGTTCTGTATATAGATAGATCCAGCAATAATAGACGCATATTCTGACAGTTTTTTTTAAACACTCAAATAGCCGGAGGTTAAAAATATAATGTAAATGTTTGATTTGTCTGCCCGGGTTTCTGTCTGTAAGAATGCTTGTCTCAATCGTAACTCAATACAGTTCAGCTTATATACACACCTAGTGAATGATTTCTATAGGTGATGCTACATAAT